CCCACCGGGGCAGTACATGGGGCTCGGCCCGGGCGGGGGCTGCCCCGGGATCGCGTCCGCCTGTAGGCGCGCGGCGGGGGCTCGGTTGCCCGCCCGCGGGAGACCCGCACGCCCGGCACCACTCACCTCCGCGCAGGCCGGGGATCCGGGGCCGTGATCGCCTGGAGCCCGAGCCTGCCGCCTCCGGCCGGGCCCGAGCCCGCCGCAGCCCGTGGGAGCTCCGCCATGGGGCTCAGGCAGCGCCGCCGCACCAGGCCCCGCACTTCCCCTGCGCCTCCCGTGCGCGAGAGAAAGACGGCGGGTGACCGCTGCAGCCGGGGGTGCGGCGCGGCTCCGTGCGCTGATGGCTGCACACACAGAGAGCAGCTGTGTAAAGTCACGCACAGGGCAGAGCGTGTTTACAGAGAGACCATGTGAGGGAAAACCAGCTCTTAGGAAGTCTGGGTCTGACTTGCGTCTGTAGGTTTGTCGGGGAGACCGGAATCCAGAAACTAAATTCAGATAAATAAATAAACCCCAACCTGAAAGTCAGCCTCTGCCTTAGCTGCGCTAGCCAGACAGTCTCTGGTTTGGGAAATGTTTTACTAGATCATCACTACAAACGGATCAGCTGCACTAAATCCAGTTGCCCTTGTGGCAGATATTTGGGGATATTATCCCCAAAGCACTTTCTCACACACATATTTTGGTGTTCCACTGATGCAGCCTTACCCCTTTCCTTATTTGGTCTGTGAGAGAAAATAGCAAATTGGGTGATGGCATACAGTTATGTGATGATTCTGTATTCTTGAGTGACAAAGTTAAATTTTCAAATATTAATTTACCCAAAGTAAATTCTATACATAGTATATGTCCTCAAGACAAGCTGCATGTGTTAGTTTCTGGAAAGCCAACCTACACTAATTTGACAGCAAATCAATTGCTGTGGAGATCTTATTTATAGTCTATTATTATTGGGGGAATATGATAGAGGTCTATAAAATCATTAATGCTGTGGAGAAAGTAAATAGGGAAGTGTTATTTATCCCTTTGCATAACACAAGAATCGAAGGTCAACAAATACAATTAATAGGCAGCAGGTTTAAAATAAAAGGAAGTACTTCACACAATGCACAGTCAACCTGTGGAACTCACTGTCGGGAGATGTTGTCATGGCCAAAACTATAACTGGATTCAAAAAATAATTAAAGTTCCTGGAGGAAAGGTCCATCAAGGCTATAAGCCAAGATGGTCACGGCTGTACCCCCATGCTCTTGGTGTCCCTAAGCCTTTGACTGCCAGATGCTTAGACGCTTAGACTGGACAATGGGATATATAGATGGACAATTGCCATGTTCTATTCATTCCATTTGAAACATCTGGCATTGGCCACTGTAGGAAAACAGGATACTAGGCTAGATGTTACTGGATCTTTTAGCTTATTGGATATAACCACATTGTCATCAAAAGATTTTCATTATACCATAATAGATCTATTCAGTTTTTAATAATTATACAGCACTTATAACTCTGCCAGAGGCACCTTTGATAAATAAGAATTAAAGCATTTGATACTACTCTGACAATATCACACATACTTTAGACAAGAATGAGAGGATTACCAAGAAATCTCAGTGGTGTGAAAAATTGTCAGACTGAATCATTTTTTCAAATCTTGCTTACATAGACCTTGTCTAGACTGAAAAAAGATGTTTTGTTTCAATTGAGTTAGCACAATCAAAGTAGCTTAGCTCGATTGAAAACAGTTTAACACTAGTGTAGACAGTGTAACAACTTAATCTAGATTGGTAGTAAATAGATTTTCAACTGAATTGAACTAGTTCCATTAAGCAAACTCAAATTAAAAAAACATATTTTTTTAGTTCATACAAGGCCATAGTGATTATATATAGATCAATTACTGTTGACCAGTTTAGAGCCCAATACTGCAATTGTTTATGCTCTGAAGTAAATTTTCTCCTCATAGTAGTTCCATTGAAGTCAATCGTACCACTTATAAGACGAAAGCTACTCCAGAGCTTGATTATGGGATTTTTTTTAAACCAATGATTCTTTGAGTTACACATATATGTAAAAGTATTTAATAAACGGAATATTTTATTTTGATACTCATAATTTAAAAAGATCTGATGCAACATGATACTGTGCCTTTTTAGAGCATATAATTTTTCATGCATACACACTCCTATTTGCATTCAGAGGAATTACTTACTCCTATCAAGATATGAGCAAAATTCAGCAAAGAGTGAGTCCTTCACAACTATATTACGACTCTTGGAAAGCAAAGAAACTGCAGCAAAATGAATAACACCTTTGCGCAGTGTTGCTGGAACAATTTTTATAATGGAGGTGCTGAAGGTGGAAACCATGTATTTGGATTGGCTTCAAGACAGCGGGTGCAGCAGTACTCCTAGTTCCAGCACCTATGCCTTTGTACCATTTGAATGCTAAATTTAACATGCTAGAGTATCCCCACAATTCTTCATAATTAAAGCCTATATATACAATAAGTATAAGGAATTAATTATTTGTTGTTATTTAATACCATAATATTCCCAAGAGCATTTGCCCTAGTAAAATAGTAAACAGTACTAGTTTTAGTAGGGTATCATCCAATTAACCCATTAACTATCAATGTTTCACTATAGAGTGGTGTTATATTTCCTCCATTATATCAGAGAATCAAATAATCTAGAGATGAAAAAGATCTATTAGCTGTAGTCCATAACCTTACAATGGAAAATTATTCACTGTCATGCATTTTCTGGTGTTTGTCCTATCTAGTTTTAAATGTAGCCAGGATGGGGCTCAACTACTTCCCTTGGGAAATTATTTCACAGTCTATTAGACTGCCACCCGGATAATGCAATCAGATCTACATAGGCAGATCACTACATTTATGAAAAGCCCCATTGAACTCAATGGGGCACACTAGGGACACATCGATCCTCCTGTCCAGAGCTCCTTGCAACTCCAAGGCCTGTATACGTCAAAAGAGTCATCTGCTGTAAATAAATGACTGTAAAATCCCTAGCTTCATGCATAGATAGACTGTGAACTGTTAGTGGCATTCACTATCAGCTTTCTATTTCTTATTTCCTTGATTTATTAGTATAAAAAGTTCTCTTTCTCCGTTTACAATCCCTCCCATTCATTGCTTTTTCCTTTCCTCCGCCTAAAGGGTTAATCAAGCACGCGCATGCTGCTAGAGAATTCTGGGAACTTGTCTGTCGTTTGCAGAAATTGCCGCAAAAGGTCTAGTAGTCTGACGGGCGGACGTGCTCTCCTCTCTTGTTTCAGTAAGTGTTTCGTTAATTTTTTAGAAATGTGTTCTATCTAACGCACATCTTGCATGGATGTTACGGAGTTACACGTGTAGGTTCTGCAGTGAGGCATTTGAAAGAAACAATGTTTTAAGAGACAAATTTGTAAGAGGAGATTTATTCTGTGATCTCGGCCATGTGCTTGGTCTGTGGTGTTTGATCTTCCGTAAAATGGCTTTTCCTCTGCACTGTTGTAGGAACAGCAATGTTTGTGTTTTTATGTGAGCCCTCCCTTTCAACTGAATTACTTGCATGAGTAAGATGAGCAACGTTTGTTCTTATATAGCTATAACAAACTCGGGTGGGTGCGTTTAATTTAAACACTGTGGTGTTAGCACTGTAATTATTGTAACTGCAAATTGCTTCTTCTACTGCTTGTTTTATTATTTATAAGGGCAATAGGATTTTTTTTTATTTATATGAATTTAAAAATAGCTGTTCTTACTGTTGGTCAGAATTGTAGCTCAGAAACTAGAAATTTAAATTTTTGTTTTTTCATTATGCATACATACAGGCTTGTTATTCATATTATATAAATGCTACACTGTTTTATTTTTTGGCTTTAAACAAGTAGGAAAATATTTGTTTTTTTAAAAAGCGAATATTAAACTTTTGACCTATCGTGGTTTGATCTTTAACCTTCTTTTATTCTTTCCCCTCAGTTTGCAAATTTGGAGTACTACCAAAATTGGTATTGTCCTCATAAATTCTTTAAATTCAGCTAGGGAACCTTGAAATTAGTGGTTAAATTTGCTAATATTTGTTATAATCTTTTTTTAAAGTATATTTACTTTCAGTATGTAAGTATATATGTTGACAGGAAGGAAAATGCTTCTTTTCTTTCCTTTATTCTCTCTAGTCCTTATTCTGCAATCTTTATTTAGGACTGGATCCTGGGAGCACTCTCAACTCACTGAATATAATTAGGGTTGCAGGTTTGAGTACCTGTTGGGATGAGGCCACCAAAACTCCCATTGATTTTTAGTACAGGTTTTTCAGTGAGTGTTTTCCCTAAATTAGGATGCAGAATATGGCTTCAGGTGACTGCTTGTACGTGAAGAAGAATTTTGAGACAAGGTTTAACTGTTATGACATAATGATCTGAGTTCCTTCTAAAAAGCTAATCCTTTCCCCCACCCCTGCCAAAGTCATTTTTATCATCTGTTGCTTCTGCCATGTCACCCTCCTCTAGAGGCATTTTGCTGAGAAAGCACTGGACTGGGATTTAGGAGATCTGGGTTCTATTTCCACTTCTGGCACTGGCCTGCTGGATGACACTTAGGGATTTCCCCTTACATCATGGGACTCATCAGAAGCCAGATTCATGCATCCTCTGTGCCCCAGGAGTGCTGCAAAGGGGTCTTAGAGGGACCAAAAATCTGGACTGAGGTTTTTATTAGCTCAAATGTGAATCATAAAATAATCTGCAACAATTATCTCATTGGTGTGGTGTAGTCAGTGGGGTGGTGGCATTGGGAATGGGTGCATCAACTTAACTGGAGACTGCCTTTCTCTTTTGTCATTGTGTCTGGCTACTGAGTATCCCTTCTCTCAGATCAGCGTCATCTAGCATTAAGTATATTCTCTGTCCTCGTTTCAGCCTCTGTGTCAAGCACTAATGGAGTGATTTTTGCAAAATAAATCTTTAAAGCGTGTATTTTAATTTCTGTGGCTCTTGTGATAAACTTGCTCTTCAAGTCTGTATTGTTCTGCGATGAGGTTCCATGCACTGACATGGGAACATGCTTATTGGGTTTGACTCATTTAGGAATAAGAGATAACTGTCTAATACATTATATTATTTTTAAAGAAGAAAAAAATGTTTTCCTCTTATATTACTATCCTTCACTGTGGCCAGTCCCTTAACCTTTCTTCCCTTTTTTCTTTTACTTGCTTACCTGATTTATTCATGGTTTTTCTTTATTCTTCAAACTCTATTTTTGTTTTTGTTAAAATGGTCCATCTCTGAAGGAGTCTTCTATTTGGTACAAGACTTAAAAATGTTATTGCATATAGAATTGAAATATCTTCTGGAAAATGTGCGGGATCTTCCTGCCCACAATTTGCTATTAAGACTTTTTAGGTTTAAAAACATGCTTTTTCATATATATTCACGATATTACACCAAGTGATCCCTTTGTAGTGGAAGCCATGCCCTGAATAGTAACAATTCCCAGGAAAGACACGTTTCTAGTGTCTAGTCACCGAAAGGAGCAAAAATAT